TAGGACTCGGGACTGCGGGGAAATCTTTCAGGAAAGGCAACAAAAAATAGTTTTCTCCACAGTGGTTTGAATTTCAAATTTTCCCTCCATTATAACGTTCTATTTTAAGTTTTACGATTGTTGTAGCTGTCCACACCTTTCTATTTCAATATTTCAGGGGTTAGGAGTATCCCTTTTTCGAGACTTACAACCAATTTTTTTCGTCACTGTTATATTTGTGCCTGTCATAACAAAGACCGCCTGTCCTTGAATCGTTTATCGTTATGGGAAACAAATCACTGTCTTGTAGTTACGGACATACAAGTGGTGAAATGATACAGGTTTAACGCTCTTAACAGCACTGTTGAGTTAAGTTATATAAGAGAAAGGACCTCCGAGTTTAACTTCCATCTCTGAAAGGACTGAGCCAAATAGGACATCCGTGTAAAATGTCTTTCCTACGGACACAACAAATACGGGTCCGTAGTGTAACTACTAGGCTACCGACGCCACGTCATGTGCTTTATGAGTGCCGGTAGCAAATATGAAGTACCTCGAAAACTAACCTTTTTGTTGGAAGGCAGACATCTTGTTCAGAATGTCGAACACGCAAAAAATGAGCTATGGGGCCGCTAGGAATAGACTGGAATAACATCTGAAATGTCAAACCTCGAGCTCGAAAGCGGATTTAAATTAATTATCATAACCACCCGTCTCCACACCTCCCACCCCCTACTCCCTTGAAATATTTTTTTTCACAAACGGTAACATAATTGTTTTTGGTAAAGTAAGCGTTTTACGTGGCACTTGCAACAGAATTAGGTTTTAAGTTAGATTTAAGATGCTTCGAGAGAGTTAAAAAGCAAACAAAAAAGAAGACGTTATTTTAATTTTAGTTGTTCTGTGCCTACGTCTGAATGAAAATAGTCCGTGTGTGCGTGTGTGTGTGTGTGTGTGCGTGTGTGTGTGTGTGTGTGTGTGTGTGTGTGTGTATGTGTGTGTGTGGGGGAGGGGAGGGTGTGTGTGTGCGTGTGTGTGTATGAGAGCGCGTAAATATATATTGCATGAGAAGAAATGAAGTAGTAAGATAGATTTTGAAAATGAGTATTCCAATGTAAAGCATGATAGACAAAGTTGACCGATAGGAAAGAAGGAGCGGACCACACCAGGGCACCCGCCAATTATCCGCCCTTGAAATATTATTTTCACATACGATTGTATACCAACAACATTATGCTGTGTGCAACCATGGAAGGGCAGGGGAGGGGGAGGGAGGACTGGAATAAACTCAAACCAATCCCTCTCTTGACCCCAACCCCTACCTTCCATCACACCCACCATCCAACCTCAAAGACATAAAACTGAAATTCTCAATATTATCCCCAAAATAATTAATGTATTTGATTTTACGTCCCCATCAAAACAATATGAATCCTTCGGACCCAGCCTGTAAGGGTCTGCCCGGATTGAGAGGGGTACAGCATCCTAGCAGGAAGAACGAGGTACTCGACAAAAATTCGCCCCACTCGGGAATCGAACTCGGGTCTCCTGTGCCCGACATCAAAGCGCATATCCACTATACCACAGGCGCCAGTAGTTATCTAAAATGCCAAATGTCGAGCTCGAAAGTGGATTTAACCATCATAACCATCCT